TATTGGTTCTCTTCTTTATAAATAATCTTCAATATATTTTATAGTGATCGTATTCACTGCTCTTAAGAGTATGTGAGATCACTGTTATTAGGAAGATATTTCTACTGGAATCATTATATAATATACATGACTTAAAAATATGGCATATCTGAGTATTCTGAATTTAACGTAAAATTATGATACACTTTTCTCTAAAATCAATTCATTACAATAAGTAAAATGTATCTCAATCAAGAATTTTTAAGAATTATATTATATAATTCAAGTATACATACATACGGGTTTCTTTGATTTTACCCACCTAAATAGATAATTTTGCTCTGATTGAGTAACATTTTTGAAACAAAAAAAAAAAACGAAAAATGTTTGTTGATGTAATAATTTCAATACAACTATTATAACTTTTATTAATATATTGAATTAATTTTAGTTTTCGGCTTATCCTCCTGTTAGTGACTAATTGGTTACATCAAAATTATGTAAGTTTACATACTATAAACATGTTGAATTATTATATTAAAGTTATATTTTGTTTATTTTTTAGTAATGGTTGCAATGTAAATTCATTAAAACATGTAAAATGTTTAATGATGACACCTTATGGACTCGATCTTTGTCTAATAGCAGAACATTTGCACGAAATTAAAATGGTAATAATTTATTTATATATAAACTTTAGTAAGGCTGTGTGTGAGTTGAACTAAATTGAGAGAAAAATAAAATTGCGTAGTGATACATATTTATACCAGATTACATTTCTATAGTGTTGTGATTTTAGTTTTTTTTGAAGATAGTTTATATGAAACATTATAAAATAATAATATTAAGTTAAAATTTCCTTACGCAGACAAGGATGTGACAATTACGGTTGAAAAAAAATTTGCGTTTATAGGAATAAGAAAATTAACTTTAGTTGATACAAAAGTTCTAATAATAAAAATTTAACTTTTTTTTTTATATACCTAGTAACATAGTAGCGTAGAAAAGAATATATAACAATAATAATATCATTCTGATGATTAGAAAAGAAGTTAAATAAGATAATGAAGGGAGGCGGAAGGAGAAATCTTGAACCTAGTCTGGGTCCAGATGAAGGAACATTGGCATTCATTCTAATGGGGTGAAGTTTGTATATTTTTGCGTATTCTTTATAAAAATGAGGTTCAAAATTCAACTCTTACACTTTGAAGACCATTCGACCAAATGAATGCAGTACCAAAAATCCTCCACTTTCTTACTTAAACGAACATGACAGCTAGTTATCCGGTTTTAACTTGACGCAGTCTCGTACATCAAATGCGCTTAGTACTCCATCAATTTGGTGACCACAAAATCCATTAGGAATAATTAAATTTATTTTAATCAATTTACTTCGAATCGCAAACAGCCCAAGTATCTTTTCATATATTCAATGATTTTAATTTTTCGGATCTAATTACTGAATTTTACCTACATTATTTATTAATCCTGTAGATAAAACTAAATAACTATGAGATATAATAAATATTAAAAATTTATTTTTTAAGCACTTAGAAACATGAATACTAAATTGTGTGATTACTCTTTGCAGATTGTTATAATATTTCAATGAGACATTTGGTCATATCTGTGGATAAAACATTGTTAATAAAAGAATATGGACTTGTTCTCACGAATAACATATGTGCCCAATCTTAGGTAATAATATACAAATATATATATATTAGTTGATCTCTAAATATTCTATGATTATAATTTTTCGGATCTAATTGCTGAATTTTTACCTACAATTTTTAATACTGTTGTTAATAAATGTAAATGAGATATAAGACATAAAAAGAAAATATCATTTAAAAATATTTTAAACTGTACTTATATGGGTTTCTTTTTATATATTTTTAGATATGCTCATACATAGACCTAAAGCTGAACTAGATCAAAATATTACAAAATTGAAGAATGGCGGTATAATGTATCTGTTACTAACAAGGTAACTAATAATAAATATTTCATGCAAATTATAATATTTTTAGTTTTCTTCAATTAAATTTTTTGTGTCAAGCTACCAAAATTTTCCTTTTTTTATATGAATAAATGTAAATTATAAAGCTAAATTGCAATTTAACACAATGATGATAAAAATTACCGTATGAATTTATTTGATGATTGAATTCATGGCTGCACTTATGTGTACTGATTTTTTAATTTAAAATTTATTTTCTATTTTATATTTTTACTGTCCAATATAATAATCAAAAATTATACTTACTTATTTTCAGATTTTGGCTTAATAGTTCTTTTGCCTAATAATATATAATGGATTTAGAAAAAGGTGATTAAACTCTTTTAAAAAAAATTTTGTGAATGTATTGTTTATGGTACAAAATATTAAAGTTTGACTTTAAAATATATTTTATATTAATAAATAAGAAAAGTTCATCTCTTGCTTTCATATAAAATTTGATTAAAATATATTAGTTTTAACATTAAAAATATATTTTTTTTAATTTATTTTGTCTAATTTTTATAAATAAAAGTAATTTAATTGTATAAATTAATTTAATACAATTAACTTTAAAAAAATCTAATTTGAAATGTAAAATTATTTCACATTTAAATGATGAGAAAAATTACCGTATGAATTTATTTTATGATTGAATTCATGGCTGCACTTATGTGTACTGATTTTAATTTTATTTTTAATTATTTATTTATTTATTTTCCAGTAAGAAAATAAAAAATTTAAATTTCTCTTTTCAGATTATGTTTGTTATTGTCATGCTACTCTTTTTTGATATCGGAAGGATGAACGGCATATATTCATCTAAAAAGACTATTGGTTCTGGCACAAAGAATTTTGGTGTTATATAATGAAGGATTAAGAAGAGTGTGAAGGTAATATACAAATATTAATCAAAAGCCTTTAAATAATTATATCATCTTAATATTTTAGTTTTTATTTTAAACGCAACACATTTTAAAAATTTTTTTTAAAATGTAATCTTAAGTCCTGCATAATGCTATATATTTATTAAAATAAAATATAATGATTATATTGAATTTGAACTTATAGATAATAAATGTATTCTATTATAAATGTACTTGTTGACGTCTTATACAGATAAATCTTTATATATAATATATATGCATTGTATAAAATCTACAAAATTCACTCTTATTCAAGAAAATTTAAATAAATGTATATATATATATATATATAAAAAATTTATAAAATTTAATTTAATTTAATACTTTAATAAATATTAAATGCTTTGCAATTAAATGATGAAAAAAATTACCGTATGAATTTATTTAATGATTGAATTCATGGCTGCACTTATGTGTACTGATTTTAGTTTTATTTTTAGATTTAAAATTTTTTTTCTCTATATAAAGTTTTTCACTTAAAAACAATTATTTTTTTCAGATGTAACTTGTGTTCTAATGGTTCCATTAACAATAAAACATTACTAAAAGGTAATATTTTAATTACAAATTGTTAAAGCTCTAAGTTTAGTATTAAAGTATTAGTATTATTTTTTAATTTTTTTTATTTTCTATACATTTGTTTCAACAAAAAAAAAAAAAAAATATGTGTAATATAAGGTTATTGTCTTAAATTATCGTAACAATAAGAATTAAGTAGCAATATAAATATTTCCTCCTTTGTTACTATAAAGCAATTTTCTCCTTCAGTTGTAGTTTATCATTTATTTTTTATTTTATTGGCAAAAAAATGAACATTAATATTTTTAGTTTTTATATATATATTTATTTTTCATAAGTGTAATTCTATATATTTTATACAAATGCTATAAATTAATATAATTATATAATAAATATATATTAAAATTAGTTCTAATGTGATGAGATTAATTGGTCCGTGTTTATGAATTTATATTGATTTTTATCCTTCCAATTACTGATTATTACTAAATACAATATATACTAGCAGTAATTTTAAACACCATTGAAATATACTAAACAGTTTTAATTTTTTGCAGGAAACATATAAGTAATGTGGGGATCAAATCAGATATAATTTTAATCAAAGGTAAGCTTTGAAATTAATCATAATTTTTATTTAAAATTAGATTTATATATATATAGATATATTTAAAAAAAATAAAAATTAATAAATGATGAAATTAATTGGTCCGTGTTTATGAATTTATATTGATTTTAATATTTCCAATTACTGACTACTTTTAAAATTTATATTCAATTAATTTATAATTTATTACTATTAAATAAGTAATTGGTTTTATTTTTATTTTAGATGCGCTGTCAATTAAAACTGCTATGAAGAATTGGAACACTTATTCAATTCCATATATGGTATTTTTGTTTGAAAAAAATAAATTTAACTCGCTTTTTAAAAAAATTTGACGTTAATAAAATGCTTTCTTTATTTTATGTACATAACATATATATTTCAAAATTTAGTTTTATGGTACGTAAATTTTTTTTTGGTACATTTTTATTTATAAAATTTTTTATTAGTTGTTGGATTTTGTTAATTTTTTTTGTTAGTTTTTTTTCTATTTTTTCCAGTTTATTTTTTTTTTAAATTAAAAATTTAACTTCTATATATACAAAAATATATTTAATACACATTAGTTTTGTTTGTTATTTATTTTGAACAAAAATTCATATATGGAATGAATATATGAGTGTGATTAGTTATCGTGTATTCAGGTAATTATTAAATTAAAATTAATTAATATCTTCATTAAATTATGATATAATTATCTAATTTAATATTTTTATGATGATACATTTAATTTATGTCTTCTTTTCCCGACATACATAATTTTGATGATGTTAACTAATCTGAACTATTATTTTATTTGATTTTATAACAAATAATATTTCAACTAATAAAATAATATTTTTGCTTTTACAGGTAAGCTGTGGTGTTTGGTGAATTTCCCGAAAACCGGATTTTTATATTTAATATTTATTTATTTTTTATAATTACAATATATATGTATACGTATATATACAAAATGAATAAAAAAAAACGAATGGAAAAAAATATCTATATGTTTTAATTTCAACCCCAATCATATCCGAGCTGATTTGCTCCTCTGGAAATAACGTTAAACATCAGAATAATTTCTCCATATGATTCCACTGCTAAACCTAGAAAAAAAAAACAGAATTAAACAATAATTAACAATATTTTAACTTTAACTTACCATTTATATTGGCATCAAGTAAAATTCTTGGATTCTTTAATTCAGGATTTTTTCCAGTAATCCAGCTTGTCATTTGTGAAACAAGATTGGTACATTTTGGTATTAGTATTGGCGCTGTAATTCTACGTGCACTATTCGAACCAAATATAGGTACATGAGCGCGGCTGTAACCTAAAACTGTTTCAACACCCCAGCGAGTTTTACCATAGATTATAACTATTATTTGAGGCCCTTAAAATAAAATATACTATTTATTTATATGGAGTATAAAAAATTAAATTTTGTTTATTTAACTTAGAAGTTGAGTAAGTTAATTGCTTAGCGATATTAGTAAACCAAGGATTGGGTTAAGTTTAAGTTACCCTGTTAGGCCATAAACCATGCAGATCTATGCAAAAGTTCCTAATGACACTAGAGAGAGCAAAATATTGCGATTATAGTAATTGTCTTTTGTTTGGTTACGGTGACATGTCAGCATATATCCTTCCACTTTACATAATTGGTAACTATTTGCCGTCTTACGACCTCATTCGTCGTAAGAACCCTAAAGAGATAAAAACTGTTTCCACACCGTTCATTTAAGAGATCTCTACCGAGGAATAATCCGACAAACTGAAAAAAAAAAGTGTTTCTCTAAAAATCGGTTGTTGCCAAAGGTCTAGGCTGGACAGTATCATAGGATGTGCTTTATAGTTCCAATCTTCTTCAAGTTTTTACAACTTTTGTACTGTATATAAAAAACGAATAAAGAAAAATAATCATAAAATATGTTGTGTAGTTAGTTTACCTATGTCTATAAAAAATGCAAAAATATATCAAGAGCGAACATTATTTAGGTTTCTAAAATTCTTTTATCAAAGAAAACAAAATTTTATTTACATAAACTTTATTGTTTGCTCAGCCGTGGTTTGATAACATAAAAATATATTAAATAAATAAAATATTAACGAACATATCGACGAATTGTATCATTAATTTGATTTCTAAATTAATTGAATTGGGTGTTTTTTTTTTTTAATTTTATAAGAACACAGTTGACGTATCTGATGAAAAGTAGAAGGATAGATTAAAGTCAGTAACTAAGACTTCTGTTTGGAGAAGATAACTACAATTATAAGGTTTGTACTGAACTATGTTTTGTGGAACAGAACATACGCCTTACCAATGTGGGCTTAAATGTCTCTCGTTGATATCAAACAGGGTCAGGAGAGATATTCTTACATCACAAAGAATGTAACTAAATGTTTCACCTTCTGTAATGCAGAGAAAACATACGAAGGCTCATATAGACTCGTCTTATTAAAATAGTACCACAAGTTAAGATGTTCTGCCAGATAACCAGTTTATTTATACTTTATTGTGAATAAACAGCTCGCTCTATCATATTTCAAAAACCATTTCCCTTCTAAAAAAATTCTATAAGCTATGGTAGTATTCTTAAATGTAATTTTTTAGACTTTCCCTTCGAATTATGCATTCCACTATTACAACTATAATCTATATTATGTGAATATCCAATATTCATATAAAATATTTCTACTTGAATATCACATTCACAAACAAGAAAAAGAAAATGGCTTTGGTTAATATACTTACATCCATGAGGACTTGTACTTTTGAATGTTATTTCGATTGGCATATTCAGTACGATTTTGTCATTGTAGTGGCCACATTTGTTTGAAGCCGTCTGCGTTATACCATTTTGACAACCAGACACCAATTCCCAATCGGCACCAGCAACCACTTCGTAACGGCAAAATATTTCATCAGCATCTGGACCCATTGGAAAAATTGCAGATTCCAATTGCCCAGATATAAAAATATTGAAAGTGCTTGCAGTCGTAGGTGATTCCATATTTTTAACTTGATAACTGAATAAACATCAAAATTACAGCTATAACTTGTTTTGAAAGAAATTGGTTGCCATAGTGCACATAAACAAAAAATAATTTGTTTCCTGTGGATTATGCTCGTTTTAAAAATGGCAGACTTTAGTTTATAGTGAATTTTTAGAATATTATTTGTTATTAAATAGAATACGCATTATACCGTCTAATGTTTATTAGCGCCATCTTTTATCATGATTCTTAGAAATTATTATTGGAACAAAGCAGGATATAGACGATACTACATGTTTGCAGACATGGTATGCGTGCTACCAAATCGCATCTTCTATATTTAAGTTTGCATACCAAATTTCGGTCTAAGACATGTATGCGGTAAAATTAAAACTTTTCAATTGTTTGTTAAGTCTACACACATGTCTCCTTGTGTATATCGAAATCTGCAGACTTCTCATAATATAAGAATTTTGGCGAACGTCGGACGAACAGAGATCGCGGAAAAAAATTGTAAAATAATTGAAAAAGTTGTAGACATTTATTTTCTTTAAAAGAAGCAAATTTGAAAAAAAGTGCTACAAAGAAGTTTTTATATATTTTGAAAATTATTTTGTGCTAAAAACATTTTTTAAGTAAGTTTTTATATTTTAAAAATTATTTTGTGAATAAAAATATTAAAATGCAACGTTTTAAAGAATTAAATTAAAAATAATTTTAGTTTTAAGAATTAAATTAAAAATAATTTTAGTTTTAAGAATTAAAATAAGAAATTATGTTTAATTCTAAGAAATATGAAAGAATGAAATAAATATCATGTTGCTATTATCATCATCTCAATTCCTTCAGTTTCGATTACTATTTTGCAATCTGTATTTGTTCCGCTGTTCTGAACGCTGTAGAAAATAAATCAAAATAAATCATGCAGACTCTGTTTCAAAGTGTATAGCAAAACGCATACTTGAACTTCATACTTGGTGTGCAGATATGTAGCATCGTCTATATCATGGTTAAAACAACAATATTTGCAATAAATAATGCAAGTGAGAAGCATAATGCTGTTCTATATATAAATTAAGAAATATATAATGAATATTTAAATGTTTTGAAATATCGCAAATGGAGATTAAATTGTTTTATAATTAATCTATACAATCTATCGAAAAGTTACAGCTCCAATGACTGATAATAAAATATTTTATATAATATTAAAAAACTAGTAAAATAAATTAAAATATTTTTTAGACAATGCAGTATATGTTGTTTACATAAGCACTAAAAAATAATACGACGTTATTATTATATTTTATATTATATATACGAAACAATTTAAATATTACATTTACATTATCGACTTTAACTCAAATTATTGTAATTGACTTGATTGAAGATCAATTTCTTGACTTGTAAAACTATTTTATGCCGACTCAATTTAGCATCAAATTTGTTAAAATGTTTACAAATTGAATTTTTATGAAAATAGAAATTTGTTAACATTTTTTAACAACTGCTTCATAACTCGATTACATTTCTACAAATTACTTATTCTTACAAAAAAGTTGTGTTAAAAAAATCTGAATTCTATATTCTGAAATATTTTTGATTTTATTAATAATATTAATAATTTTATAATTATTTAATATTAGTGTAAATCAAAAACGCACTACGAATTTTTACCATTTGTAGAGTTACAATTTTGTACTAAAAATTGCAACTTTAGTACTAATAATATTGAAGGAAGCCATATTAATTTATATTGCTTCCTCTGCAAATCATTATTTTCTTGTCGTTCGTCGTGTATGGTTGCTGATCGCAGTGCTACGGAGAGTGTTTGTGAATTAAAGTAAAATATATACATAATCAAGAAAAAAACAATATGGAAACTGCTACTAGGAATGAAAATGCAGGTCCGTTGCCTCAACGACCACAAAAGAATCAAAATAAAAATTTAAAGAAACCTACTGATGCAGTTGATAATGGTCCATCTGAAAAAAAGCCACGTTTTAACCAAGGGGGTGGACCAAACGCTGGCGCTGGTGGCGGCAATCAGAACAAAGGTAATGCTCAAGGAAATGCAATGAATAAAAATTTTGGTGGAAATCGCAATCGCGGCGGCGGAGGAAACCGTGGTGGACAGCAAAATAGAAATTTCCAAAATCAGGTTAGAATTTTTACTTTAATACTTTTCAATATGGCGGCATATGGTTTAGTTTCTAGTTTTATTAATAAACTTTTTTACTATATATTTATGTTGTTTTAAAAGAATTTACAAAATTTATTACATAAATTCGGTGATTAATTATTTTTATGCAAAAATTTGTAATTAATAAAATCAATAATTCTATGCAATTTTACATACACATGTATGTATCTGCACAAAATGGCAGCCGCTACCTGATAGCGTAAATTATTTTTCTTTTAGTAATTTTCACGTAATAAAAAATTTACAAAAAGTGATAATTAAATTAATACATTTTTACTCCTGACATGGGTTTACATTCATAAATTGTTATAAATGTAATTAAGGAATATATAGAGTTTATTTGTTGCTTTTATTTTGCATTAAAGAACTGTCATTAAAGAGCCGAGCCGCGTTACTTATCCGCTTTAGTGTAGAGAAAGATAATATTTATTAAGAATTGCATTATGTCGCTACAGTTTTTATTTTGGTAATAAAAATAAATTGATGTCATAACTATATACAAATGCATATGTTTCAAGACTTGTAGTATTATTTTCTTGTTTTTGTCGGAACATGTTATTCTGATACCAAGAATATTTGGTATATTGAATTTATATCTATGTGTGAATACATAAATATTGTGCGCAATTGAGTTTACTGTGTGGAGGTAGATACTTATATTTGCCGCATAAAAATTTTAATTTGTGTATTTAGAAGATAAAGAAAAGTCATACAGATATTTTCACTATTTAAAAATATATATGTCGCCCACCCGCCCATCTCAATAATGTTTGGACTTGAATTTCTATACTATGTGTCTGTTCAATCTCTCATTCGATTCAGCGAAATTCTTTGCCAAAAACCACACCTGTTTGTTTTACCCTTCTAGTGTGTAATATATATATATATCGTACGCATATATATATGTTTTTTTATATTAAGTATATTTAAATTTTGTTTGCAAATCTAAAAAATATTATTTCATCTTCGCTTTTTGATGACCTCTTAACAATTGTTAACAATAAAATTTAATACAAGAAATAGTAGCACTTGTATTTTTCACGAATAATATGATGCCACTTAACTTGTTGGCTATTACAGACGTAAGTCGTTCTTGGCTGCTTTCAGTAGCCTCCGGTAGCCAGCTTGCTGTCGCCTGTTGGTTGTACTAAGTGTGTGTATATCGTTGCTCCTTTCATCAACATGCTAACGTCCTCTATCGCGTTTTCCATCAGCGGGTACCGAATCAAACACCTTCCTAGCTACATTATTCTTTAACATGACTCCTACGTCTTATGTTTTTCTAATTATTACAGTAATGTACTTCTCTCTCTTCGCTTCTTTACTTCATACAGAATAAAATAAATATTGCGGTATTCTACAAGTTTTTTTCTTTATTAGCGAGCTTTTAACAAAGTGGAATCATAATTTCTTTATAAAAGTGAAGAGGAACCTTTGGCGGTTATTGTTATAGCTCGTGAGGATTATCGTAAATAGTCCCTTTTGAGAGTACCGAACTCGACGAGTGGCTTCGGGACGGAGCTTGAAACCAACTTAGTGTGTTAAAATCAATATAAAAAGTTCCGTTTCTTTTTTTTTTTTTAGTTTTCTGTTATAAGTATCTTTAACAATCTAAATGAATATAAGTTGACTTTCTCCTTAATTCGATTTCTTTACATATATATTTCAATAAATATATTTCTCACATAAATGCTAGAAATATATTTAAAGTGCTGCCTGCCTAAAATCTGTAAAGTTTAAGTAATTGATCTTTTAAAAAAAATAAAATACTAAGAATGTGTAGTGATTATTTTTTACATATTTTTTTTATTGAATTAATGTAGTATATATAAAATGCTAAAATAATAAACAATAAAATTATCTAAGTAAATTTTTGTGATTTGTTAATATGAATCAATGAGTATAAAAAAAAATATTGTATTTTTTCAACTAAAATTGAAAATAATTTATAGCAGAATCAAAACCAGAATCAGCAAAACCAAAATCAACCAAACCAGAACCAAAACCAGAATCAACCCAATCAAAATCAGAATCAACCAAACCAGAACCAGAACCAGAATCAACAAAATCAAAATCAACAAAACCAAAATCAACAAAACTCAAATCAGAACCAAACTGATATAAAGACACCGCTAATGGGTGGTAACCAAGATGGTGGCAATCAAGATAATAGGTCTCAACATCAAAACCAGAATCAAAACCGCAACCGCGGCGGTGGTGGTGGTGGTCGTAATCGTGATCGTGATCACAGCCGTGGTGGTGGTGGACGTGGTGGTAACCAAGGTAATCAAAGTGGAATTATGGGACGTAATGATGAATTTCATATTGGTCAAAGATTGCGTGCAATTGCGGGTCCTACCCATGAGTTACCAACACTTGAAACTGCATCAGCTGAGCCCAAGTTCTCTGGACGTAATCGTTTATATGTTGGTAATCTCACAACCGATACAACAGAAGAAGATCTAATTGAAATCTTTAAACCATATGGTGAAATTGGAGAAATCTTTTCAAATCCTGAAAAGAATTTCACATTTTTAAAAGTTGATTATCACTCAAATGCTGAGAAAGCTAAACGTGAATTGGATGGATCCATGCGTAAAGGTCGTGCAATGCGTGTACGTTTTGCTCCAAATGCAACTATATTACGTGTTCGAAATTTAACACCATTTGTTTCAAATGAGTTACTTTATAAAGCATTTGAAATATTTGGTCCAGTAGAACGCGCTAGTATTGTTGTTGACGATCGTGGTAAATCAACCGGTGAAGGTATTGTTGAATTCGAAAAGAAATCAACAGCCAACTCTTGCTTACGTTTGTGTAACGATAGATGTTACTTTTTGACCACATCATTACGTCCTTGTGTTGTTGAACCAATGGATATTAATGATGATACTGATGGTTTGCCTGAAAAATCATTAAACAAGAAAACACAAGAATTCCATCATGAACGTAATGTTGGTCCACGTTTTGCTGATGTTGATTCTTTTGAACATGAGTACGGTACTAGATGGAAGCAGTTACATGAACTCTTCAAATCTAAGCAAGAAGCGCTTAAGCGTGAACTTAAAATGGAAGAGGAGAAGTTGGATGCTCAAATGGAGTATGCACGCTATGAACATGAAACTGAATTATTAAGACAAGGTAATATATATAGAAAAACAAATAATTTCAGCATAGTTTTTTTTATAAAAATATCATAATACAAACTAGAATTGCGTAAACGTGAGTCTGATAATGAACGCAAGAAAATGGAATGGGAATTGCGTGAGAAACAAGCTGAAGATATGCGCAAGCGCGATGAAGAAAATATGCGCCGTCAGCAAACTGAAATGCAATCTCGTATGATGCGTCAGGAAGAAGAAATGCGTCGTCGCCAACAAGAGAATACATTATTCATGCAAGCACAACAGCTGAATACATTACTAGATCAGCAAGAAGTTGGCTTTAATTTGAATGGTAATAATTTTGATAATAACTTTGGCGGTGCTAACAACTCACCATTTGAGTTTAGAGGTAAATATAATATTGATATTTTTGTTTTTGTTTTTTGTAAACATTCTAAAAGAAACGTCACAATTTTCTGTAGGAAATAACGCTAATAGTAGCAACAATTGCGGTCCAAATGGTGGACAAAATAATCAGGTACGTTCATTTTTCCAGTTATTTTTAAAATGAATTCCTTTAACAGTACTACTTCTCGTACTTCTGGTAATACAAAAAGTTGAACTAATATTCAAGAGTTAAAACATACTCATATATATATAAATAAATGCACATAGATTTCATTATTTGTCGTAATTATATTTACTTGAAGTATGCATTCTTTGCTTAAACTAAGCTGAAAATGATTTTTAAAAATACATTTTATGTGTTATTCCAAGAACGAATTGTAATAATAAAAAATTTCTTTTAGCAATAAAATATATACCATACTAATTTTTATTCTGAAAAGTCATGTGTGCTGGAAGAATTCTGATATGTTTGTTTTCGTGCTATTGTTTGTCTCACAATATATTGACATGCTGGCCACATATCGAAATATTGTTGGACTGTATTTAAGTTATTAGGATTTGTTTTTAGATCTTAATTAACTAAAATATGTAGTAGTTACGAAACTGATGTACATTTAATTTTCTATATGTTAACAGTATTCTTGGAAGACATTATTTATATAGTATGATGTTATTCATGCAACTCTCATTACCTATTGTTATTTGCTGACAAATAACGATAATATTAAAATTAATACTATTGATGATGCAAATCTATATATTATTAAACGAATATAAATTTTTAACTACAAATCACGGTTACTTGGGAATATTAAGAAACTTTTTCAGACAAGAAAGACATATACTATATATATACATATAGGTAAAATTTTTATATAAAAATTAAAAATCTCTTATAAAGAAAATTGCTTTACAGATACGATTGAACTTTATTAAAATTAATACTCTTGATGATGCAAATCTATATATTATTAAACGAATATAAATTTTTAACTACAAATCACGGTTACTTGGGAATTCTGTTAGAAATTGTGTGTAACATATAATTTTATTATAATGTGGTGAGATAATAAACTCGTGGGTTATAAAATTTAAGATAACTTCTGATCAATTGGGGAGAATTACATAAAATAAATCTAGACAAAATATGTTTATTATAAATACAATATATGATTTATTCATATATTTAGCATTCTGAATGATATAAAGTTTTTAAATTATTCTCTTAACATATATGCGATAAAAATTATTTTGCTTAAAAAATAAAAAATAATAGATATACATTTATATCTATAATCTTTGGGGTTTGGGTAATTAAAAATTAAACGTTTAAAACAATTCTTATGTATCAGAACATTTTTATTGCAATTGTGATATTAACTGTTATACTAGTCGCCAATCTCCAATCGCCAATCATTATCATATGTACTACATGTTGCGGTACGATTTAAATTTTTTACTTTTTAATAAATTATATTGCGATTTTGTGTCATATAGCTTTGACACAATATAAAATCTAAAGAAACAAATGTTACCAAAATTAAAAAAAAATTTCTTTTATTAGACTATGGTATGGGAGCATAATCTTCTTAACTTTTCCTTACTCGTTATCTATCATGCTTAAGCATTTATTAACTGTTTTTAAGTCTGTTGAAAAAGTGATGAAACCAGTCAATATATAGAAGCTGTATAGATTTTTTATATAACATAACTTTAGTATAAGTCATATTTGCGGAATGTCTGTGTGCTCAGCGCCATATTATCTGAGATGAATAGATTAATTCCTATCATTAAAACTGATTTTTAAATATTTTAAATACTTTATGAAGCATTGAAATATTTAATTGATTATGATGTGGTTGAAAAATTAATTCATCAATTTTTTTGTTCACACATAGTTAATTTATATTACTGTTCAAGCTGTGAACTAATCCACCGAGTTTAATACTCAGCAAGCAATCCAGTAGGCGTCTATAGACATAAAATATTTTGGGTGGATTAAGATAATGATTTATTTGTCGATTATATTTAGGTAAATTTGAAGATTAAGGGAAATGACTTCATTTGTTATAAATCAAGTATAACAGTTTATAACAGTATTAATCATAAAAAAAAATTCGTTTTCAATGTTTTTAAAATTTTTATGTCCTCTTACATGAAATCTATAACCATTAAAAGTTATAGTAATTGGGTAAAATTATTCAAATCTAAATAATATTTACATATATAAATTACTTTATTATATAAAGTAGTAAAATAATGAAAAAGTATTTTCAAATGAAATTTAAAAACAAATGGGTGAATATGTGTTTCATATTTATAATGTATATTTACATATTGTGATTGGAATTGTATAAAAATATTTCATATTTGTTTTAAATACAAGAATTTTTCTTTTTTTTTTTTTTTTTACTACACAAGCTAGTATAACAGTTAGTATTTGTAATACAATAAATACGTCAATATTTGCAATAAATATTTATTCTAAAGTATTTAATACAACTTTGGTTGGAAATTAAACAATATTGATGTGATGTTTTATTTTAATATAACTTGTTTGGGTGAAGTTGTTTATCAACATCTATTAGTGGTTCCGTGGTAAAGACCCGAACAATTAATGAGAAACAACTTTAATATTCTAATTGTTGGGGATTATTAATTTTGTCTAAAATTTTTAACTTTCACAATTTCTTATATAGAGTTTATTTATTTGAAATATTCAAATATAAAACTTAAAAATTTCGCTTAGTATAATAGTTTGAAAACCAAATAAAATTGTTTTCATTGTCATTGGTCAATATATCAATATGAACATAAAATATGTATGAATTATGAAAAAAATAACTTGTCTTAAACAATTTTTTTTATCATAACAGTTGATATTTGGGTTGACATACAATTTTAAAATTGCATTTGTATGACAAATATTTAAATATATTTTTGTCGAAAAGAATATAAACATTTATTACTCTAAATAATTTAGGATGAATTACTGTATTTTATAATTTCTGGTACTTGGGGAAGGGTATTAGTTTAATGACTAAACGCCATATTGATTTATATCGATGCTATAAAAATACAAAATGCTATTTTAACAAAAGAAGGAACCATGAAAATTGTTAATGCAAAAAACTTAAAACTTGCTCATCCAATTGTGTTAATTTTTTTTTAGTATTGTGCTGTAAACATATTTTCAATACAAAATGTTTTTGGACATCTATTATTAAAATATAATAAAAATATATCTACTTCTTTTAAGTTTTTATATAAAAGAAAACTTTTCCGTTTATTTCTATTTATATTTGAAATATGAAATTCTTTACATTCAATTACGATAGGATCCGTTTACATTTGAGTTTGGTGGTAACAACCAAAACCAAGCTGGTCAAGGAAATCGTGGTGGCAACAACGGCGGAAATAATAACAATAACAATCCATGGGAACGAAGACGGCGTTTCTGAGATTCACCATTACCTTGAATGGAACCCTATAAACTAAATTTATTTAACATTTCCAAAATCTAGAAAAACAAAAATAATGAAATCAACCAACAATTCAAGATTTCAGTCAAAAAAACTAAAAGTTAATGCAATATTTGAACAAAGTACGTTATATTGCTACATAATCTATGTAGTAATATATAATCTCTTGATCTTCGTATAGTACGCAAATTTTTTTTTATTATTCACGTGTACAGCAGAATAAATTTTGTATCTGCAAACTACATATAAAAATTAAAATTAAATTTCATTAAATAATAGGCGGACTTCGTTATTGAAGAAGTCTAAGATCATTTAGTAGATCTCTGTTCGTGTTCATGTGTTATATTTCATTACTACACAATTATTCAACAAAACATTAATATATTAATTAATACATAATATATTAACACAACAGATAATTATTATCCAAACTTTAATCTTAAACTTTAGCATATATACTAGATAAAAAAAACTTAAGTATTCATTCTTCTTAGCGGTAATATTAATATAAGTAATACTTTTAAATGATATAACACAGAATGGTTATAGTTATTAACCAATTTACTCTAAACAGTATGAAGCACATATTTTAAACATAAATTTATATAATTTATATCTTTTATCTTTTACATTGGAATGGTTTGACTATAGCTAGGCTATATTAATTTAAACCAATTAATCTCAGTTATTAGTAAATTGGTTTATAACTTAACAAAAACAAAAAAAAAAAACAAAAATGAAATAAATTTATATTGAAGTGACATGCTCTTGCAATGTATTATGTTCGTTCTAAAAGAAGAGAACCAAATTAATTATATAATAATATTTTTAAAATTTTTAACTAAATATAAACTGTAAAAAATTTCATTCAACATATACCCTTAATAAACTTAAATAAATTTATATCATACAAATTATAATCATAAGTTTTATATGAAATTGGGAAAGGGAAGGAGGAAATATATTAATGAATTATTTCCTTTATACAGTGAAAACACTCTTATTTGTATCAGATTAATCCTCAAGCAACTTTTGTTCGATAGAGATGGGTGTCCGATAAGGAGAAGTTATTCAATAAAGATAATGTTTTTATAATAATAATAATATTAATATAAATAAATAAAATGAAACATATGAAGTATATTTAAATACTTCAAAAAAATTCAATAACAAAGCTAATGAACATAAAACATATTGGTTAAAATGTTGAATCAGTATAAGATCTATAGTTAGAAGGTAAAAATTACCTTAGTTATCCTCTAGATGTACAAGGTACAGCTTACTTATAAAATTAAATTAATCTCAATGACTTGTTTATGATTTTGATCAATTACAAGGGAAATTATTCATACAATTTATATAGATTTCACAATCATAAATTGAGTTCAATTTGACTCGTAACATATTTATCTTAAATAAAAATATATTCGTTTGCGAACAGGTTTTAGATGATTACAAACAGTTAATCTATTTTAATTTTAAATAAAATCCTTATGTATTCTGAAAAAAATAAAAAAAAACATAATAATTATGTGATTTGAGTTGTGATTTACAAAATAAATTTAAAATGAGCAAACAACCACATTTTACTAATTTTTCCATAAATGTTTGCAAAGATCATATTTTTGGATCGATCAGACTTCACGTATGTCTCTTTCTCTTGAATGTCTCGAAACGTCTTCAATGACTAATCCCTTTCCTACTGAAAATAGTAGTAAATGTTCCTTTTTAGTTAACTTCGATGATATCCTTACTATGAGTATTTAAGTTCTTTAATTTTTAGACTGGCTTTACAGAAAATATTTTTGGCAGTTATAAATGCAATTCTGGCTGGCATTAGCGATGGACAGTTTTTACGAACGCTTTTAGAGATATGAAGTGAGCCACATAGGCACCTTAAGATAATATAATAATTGAACAATAAAGAATAGATATAAAAGTGATCATAAAAAAATTCTCATAATAATTTACTAAATTAAATCGTACATTCAAATTGTCTCGTTGAATTTGAACTGTTCCATTAAATTGAATTTATGTCAATTACGAAGTGAACCAACCCCCTCACTTCTCTCAAACAAGCAATTAATGCTAAACTTAACTCAGATATATACATTGAAATAAATAATTTTATATTTGGAGCTAACTACTTTTGTGGAAAATGGATCAAGAGAATTCTAAATACATAATAAATAGACCTCAAACTAAATGTAAAGCAGACTTAAATCACATAATTAAATTTTTTTAATACAGTGCTCTCTCGAAAACTTGGGACTACTTCTCTGTATATTTGTTACATTAAAAAGTAAACAAAGTTCTAAAACATACAGAGTTTGTTAAACGTAAACAAACATTTTCATGCTTAATGAGTTCATTTTTTGGACAACTATGTAACTCCAAATGAAACTTCGATAAACGGCAATTAGTTACCACATTTTTTAGGGTACGATATGTTATTCGCTAGTTTCTATTTTACAATAAATAGAGAGATTTGGAATAGAAAAATTTAATAAAATAAAAAAGGTTTTTTTTTGTTACTATTTTTATGGTGTATTAAAAATATTGGTCAACATTTTCTGGGATCTGAGAAATATTCGTACGTCGAAGTACGTGTGTCAAAAAAAAATATATATGTGATTATAATAAATTGTATTTAATTTTGATTTTCTTGTTTTTCAGCTATATAACAACTGACAATAAAAATTTTTTTTAAATAATTGTGTATATTTTTAATGAATATATATAATAGTATAATATATACTATAATATATTATCAACTCGTTTGTACGGAAATAAATTTTTTTCCCAATATTCAATTTAATAATTATAAAAACATTTGGTTGAAGTTGTCTATTTCATTTGCAAATTGTGGGAGAAGTTTTCAAGAAAATACTTTGCAATTAAAAATTTTTATTTGTTATAATATATTTTTTTTTGTTACTATAACTTTCAACATATAATGATTAAATTCCGAATGAAAAATAATAATAAAAAATTAAATAACTTACTAAAATGATTGAAATCAAATTTCAAAATTACCGCTAGGTAATGGTGGCTAGGGTTCGATATTAATAATAATAATACATTTATTAAAAATTATTCATAATTGATTTTGTACATACAAATACACGAAGTTGTTTGCAGTTATGCAGTTACACATATCAGTTTTATTTACCTTTGTTGAACAATCAAACAGCTTTAGTAACAGCTGCTACTCTATATGAGATTTAAAGTTGGAGTTGAAATATTGAAAAAATTATTCTGGATGGATGTAAATATATTAAATATTCGTAACAAATATTTTTAAGCTGAATATGTTGAACACAACAAATCATCGCTTATGAAAATATCATCACTTATGATATAGAATGTTTTCTTGAGAATTTTATAAGAGGTAAGATAATTTAAGCTAATAACACATTTGATAATTCTGAGTAAAAAAAAATGTACTATCTCTGCTAATGCATTATAATATTTATTGATATTATTTGTTGTATATTTTTTTTTCTTTTAAAACATTGTATTTGAATGAGTGTTTATGTATAATTTGTCGTAGCGTTCTTTAAAAATATAAATAAAATTATTCATCATTTGATATAATTAAATGATCATATATCTCTCGACTCAGATATGCCAAACTTCTTTATGATATGTTGTATAAGTAGTCTACGAAATTACTATATTGTGTGTTAATATTAATTGGTTTTTATATGTGAAATTATTGTTACAACAAATGGAATGCTGCTGTATTATCCTCTCTTTCTTTCTTTTTGTGTATTTTCTGATCTTGAAAAGTATATGTGAAAAACTTGTTCAGAGTTTATTCTAAATACTGTATAAATATGTTGCGAAATGATATATAATACTTTTGTGATCTTATATAATTATTTTGATGTACTTTATACATATCATAATTATATGTAATATATATTCGAGCAAGTATATAACTTGTAATTTATGTCTAAAACTCATGTAAGAATTAAATTATACACTTCTGTCATAGCCATATTAAACATAGCTTTATGCTTTTATTTTTGTATATGTACAGTAGACGCTCACAAAATGTGCTCTTAGATCGTTAGTTCTTCTTCTGTAATTGTTGAAAACAAAAATTACTATGAAATGGTCCAAAAGATGTGGGTTTTTTACCCCCAAATTCATGTCCAATATTTAGATCGTTCAATAATCAACCCAAAGCAATAAAGATCACGGATTGCTTTATGAAAAACAATGACTTTTTTTATAATTATACAATATCATACTTTCACACTATAAAAAATAGCCCAGAAATTTAAACATTTCGAAAATAAGAACTACCGGAGAAACAAAACTTGTAATTTGTGAACGTCTATTGTACATAGTATTATGAACAATTATAAATTAATGCATAAAACTGTTATAAAATGGGAAGAAAATGTATGCTTAGACCTTGATATATACTTTTGAAGTATATAATTTCATTCAGTCAATATCTCAATAAAGATATTAATCAGCTATATAAATGTCATATTTCCTAATACACATTCAGTCAAAATAGTACAGAAATTGTTATTTATATTAAAATTTCTTCTCGTTTAAAAATAATAATAATAACCTTTAAAATCAGAAAAAGTTTGTTATGTCTTGAATTAATTATAAATGTAGTTTGTGTAGCTTTCATATAGAATATATGTTTGTTTTTGTATTTCATGTATTATTTTATACAAGTTTCTTGTGTAAGTCATGTGTAAATTGTATATATTGTTGGCACTAGATGGCGTGTGTAGTTCTTGTTAGCATATTCTATGTAAGAAAATAAAAAATTTAATAACTTTAAACCTCAATATCTGAAGAGTGTACTAGAAACTTTTTCAAAATAGCGGACTTAATTAAATACACTGTCAAATCGCCGTGCCCGGGAAATCAGAATATCGTCAGTTTTTGATATATCAAGTGTTTTCAAGATATATTTTATGAGATATCAATATCTTAGCATAATAGTATATGCTATTAAAACTATTTATTTAATTTCTCTGAAGAATTTTCGAACAAGCTTGACAGATACTTATTCAGAAAGTATAAGTGAAAGTACTAATTATACAATATCGGTTCATTTCAAATATGAATTTTAGAGGCACTGCAATATTTTATCGCTTATTTAAAGATAAATATTTAAGTTTGATCTATTTTTTGGTTGAACTGTAAGCATGACAGTGGGCTATACGACATACCAATCATATGTAACTTTTTACGAAGTAAAACATGCATATTAATGTCTTAAGGTCGTTGTCATCATTCAACCTGAATATTTTTACTGATTTTAATAAAACTGGGTTGATTTTTGTAGTGATATGCCATATTTTGCATAATCATCGCATATTTGCCGTCTTGCCATCACACACCCGGTTATAAAGTTCAAGAAATATATAAGTCAACCTAATTGGTTGAAAAGAAAACTTGGTTTTATAAGAAATATATTTAGAATGTTTGCCAGGCGAGTTACTTTCTAGGCTTTCTTTCATAAGGTAATTTTTATACTCTAAACAGGCTGACACATGTCCTGAAAATTGTTGAGATAACTGTTGTTATTTCTCCTTTCGGAATGCCACTATTCCTTATATAAATAAAATAAAAAATTTATAAATAAAAAAGTGGGAATAAGACCTTATCAGATTAAATTATAGAAACAAATATGGCATAATGAAGTTATGGAACAAAATAATTTTTAAAACTTATTAGACT